GGGAGAGAAAAGCTAAAACTAATTTCTCTCAATTTGTACTCAGAGCCACATTCTTATGAAAATAAAAGTATCGTAATCAGAGTGAACTGGGACCCCGGAAAAGATGGAATTTCAGTTTTAAGAGGCATAAATCAGGCTACATCAAGCCTCCTGCTTATTAACCCTTACATTTTGGAATATGAATAACCATATTTCATTGTTGGTTTTCAGTTGTTAAGTCGTGTCCAACTCTTTGCAGCCCCATGAATTACAGCACTACAGAGGAGCCAGGCTCCTCTGTCTCCCACTGTCTCCCAGAGTTTACTCAAGTTCATGCCCATTGAGTCCATGATACTGTCTAACCGTCTCATCCACTGCTGCCTGCTTCTCCTTTGGCTTTCAATCTTTCCCAGCATCAGGGTCTTTTCTAATCAGCTCTTTGTATCAGGTGGTCAAAGTACTGGAGCTTCAGCTTCAGCAACAGTCCTTAAAATGAATATTTAGGATTGAGTTCCTTTAGGATTGACTGTTATGGTCTCCTTGCTGTCCGAGGGATTCTCAAGAGTCTGCTCCAGCACCACAGTTTGAAAGTATCCATTCTTCAGTGCTCAGCCTTCTTTATGGTCCAATTCTCACATCCATACATGACTACTAGAAAAACCACAGCTTTGACTAATATGGACCTTTGTCAGCAATGCCTCTGCTTTTTAATATGCTATCTAGGTTTGTCATAGCTTTCCCTCCAAGAAGCAAGTATCTTTTTCACTTCATGGCTTTAGTCACCATTGGCAGTGATTTTGGAGCCCCCAAATCAAATCTCACTGCTTCCACTTTTCCCCTTCTATTTGCCTTGAATTACAATGTAATGGGAAAAAATCCACTTACCCAACAATAAGAAATTAATTATATCAATTATGGTATATCTATTCAATAAAATCTACGCAATCAGTTAAATTATACTCTACAAGTACATTTAGAGGAGGAAACTATTTGCATGTCAACACTAATGAAAAAATGAAAAAAGAATACATGTGGCATAATTCCAATTTTGTATTTTAAAAGTAGATATGATGAAAATAGCCAAAAAATTAAAAGTCATTACCTGTGAAAAGAGGTATTTTAAATATAAACGTTTCTTCCAGATCTGTGCTTTGATGTTATTTCTTTAAATAACTGGTTGAATTTGATAGTGAAAACACTTGAGCCTGAAAATGTGTTTGAGAAGAAAGTTTTAAATTATGAAAAACAAAACCTCTTTTTAAATTTTTAAAAATATTTTTAATTTTACTCTTTGGTTTTTTCCTATAAAAAAATTTTTTTTTAAATTTTAAACCTGTTTTAAATGACCTTTTTTGATAGTGCTCCAGCCTGGGAGGGTGGTTCCACCTCATCACAGGCCAGAAGGACACAGAAGCTCAAATTCCCCACTTGGCCCCTGTTGATATCCAACAGTGGTGGTGCTCTTCCTTACTGCTCGGCAGGGGTGGGATTTGGCCTCCACTGATTCCTAGGTCGGGGTGGCCTTGTTAGTGCTGAATAAGTGACTATAAAAGTTCTGAGTCTCTACTAGGCCTCCTTTGACACCACCCCAGGGAGAGGGTGAAGGGTGCCTCGTTACTGCTGGGTGGAGATGGAAGTAGGTTCACCACAGGGGACCCACTGTCATCACAATGGGTGGACCCATTATCAGCCAGCAAGGATGAAATTCCCTGTTCCTTACTTGGCGTTTTCTGCTTCTTGGTCATGCTTCATGATAGCCTCATTAGGCTGAAAGTCTAATTCATTCAACTTCTGTTGGCATAAATAGGGGGAAGAACCAGAGGTTTTTGGTGTGCTTGGATAGAAGACAGCTATACTGTCTAAAAGCTTTACTCTTGGTTGGCAGTCCCTTTCCTGGTTCTTTGACTGGAGAAAGAAGGTGTTGGTTGGAGCTGTGTTTATCTCTAGCCATTGATTGGCATTATTGGATTGTTGGCTTCTGCTTCAAATCTGAGATGAGGCAAAAAGAAAATTTAGGAAATTCACTAATGTGTCCTTTCTTAGGTCTTGATGTCCACGGTTGTCTGGCTTCTTTCCATCCATCAGAATCTTCTTAGGTTTGTTTTATTTGTAATGTGCAAGAAGCTTGTTTTATTTATAACATGTAGGAGTTTTAGTTGTACTTAGCAGGAGAAATAGGGGAAAGTATGTCTCCATCATCCCAAGAGCAAAAATCCTAATAAATCCTGATAAAGTGAAATCTGTTTTGGTTGTTTTGTTACTGTTTTGTTGTTCTTGTTGTTTTGAGGTGGGGGGGGTGTTTTGTTTTGTTTTACCTTAACATTAAAGTCAAGTAATCTGAGACTCCATTTTACAAATGAAGAAACTACATCCCTTCGAGTTTAGAAAGTGAAGTCACTTAGTCATGTCTGACTCTGCAACCCCATGGACTATACAGACCATGGAATTCTCCAGGCCAGAATGCTGGAGTGGGTAGCCTTTCACTTCTCCAGGGGATCTTCCCAACCCAGCTATTGAACTCAGGTCTCCTGCATTGCAGGTGGATTCTTTACCAACTGAGCTATCAGGGAATGATTTTCAAAAGAAACAAAGTCTGTGTTTGTAGAACCTGAATGAATATTCCTAAACCATCATGTTTCTAAGAAAAATTATTTAGAGTTTTCTTCAGTTTAGTATCAACTAGATACTGGTAGCACCACTAAAGTGATTTCCTTGGTTATGTTGAATTATGTGACTAGCTATGGTATTCTAAACACAGGACACTGGCCTGTTGCACATTCTGTGTTCCAAAATTAATAACCAGACTTTCAATCTATTTCCTAACTTATAAAGACTGAAGTATCATTTTATAGTAAATACAGTCTAAGTAAAATTTCTTTCGAAACAATTTCCCTCCAAAATAAAATTTTGAAGAAATAAGACGAAGGAGACATTTACTTTGGGAGCTGTGGTATTTGAGAGCTAGAAAGGATTTCAGTGTTCATGTAGCAAAGAAGAAAAGAAAGGCTTGGGAGGCTGCAACCAAATCCTCTCACTTTAAGACCCAACTTTCATGCTAAGGAGCTCGGTGACCTTGAATGAGCCATATACTTGTACTAGGTTTGGTTTTTCCAAAGTTAGCTCTCAGACTGCATTATTATTATTATTGTGATCTGAATTCCTGTAAGAATATTCCTGTAATATGTAATATGTGTAATAATTTTAGCCCAACTAAATGCACTTATAAAACTGGAAGAATAGAGTTATCTTTCTGAGCAAGGAAACAAAAGACTGCATACCAGGACATATAAACTTGATTCACAGATGCATACTACTACCACGTTCCAACCCCCAGAGCACAATGAAATGTCCTCAGTAATCACTCTCACATCAGTGTAGGCTGAGCCAACTTCAGAACCTTATGGTCTACGCCATTTGAGGTTGAGGAATCATATCATTACAACTGGTATTTTTCCAAACAGATTTAAAAATTTTCATTGAGAGTTGCTACACACACCACCCAGAGTGTTACCAGATCTTTCTGAAATGCTAAGTGAAAATGAACCCAATTTAGTACTTAAAGTAGCATTTTAACTTTACATGTTTCAAAATTTTTCCTTACTTCCTAGCTATACTTTCATAGAATCTTAGAAATAATTTCCTTCCCTTAATCCTAGTAATTTAACCCTTGTCCATTTGACAGACATTTTTCTTCCTTTACTTTTAGTTGATGTGAAATTTGCATGGCTGATGGTACTTTCGAATTAAACAGCTCATACATAACTATTGCTATTATATGGGGTGCAATTATAAGTGTCAAAGCTGCAGCTGGCTTCCTCCTCTTCCTTTCAACTAAAAGAAAAAAATCACTGAGTAATACCAATGGGCTAAAGCTTCTGCCAAATTTTCTTGGATGGGAATTAAGTATTACATGCAAATCAAGCATGTATTACAATTTTGTGAAATAAATTCTTAGAAAACTCTTAGTTAAGCCTTTTTATAACCATATATGCAATGATGCTTTTATTAGAATATATAATGGTTTAATCAGTCATTATTCATACTCATTGATTCATGACTTGAAAAGAATGCCTTTCAATAGCCCATATGGAAACTTAAGAATGTGATCTGTCAGCTATTTTGAAAAACTATATATTGGCAAATTTTTATTAATAAGCTCCTTATTAATGTTTAGTTTGTAATAAGTAACCTGGGTCTTCCACTTGTCATTGGATGCTGGAGATCTTCCTAATTATCACATCATCCTTCTGCAAGGCATCCTTGGTAGTGCGGGTTCCTTTTGGTCACTGATAATTCTGTGCTTCACTGCAGGCTATGTTGCTGTTCTAGCCTAAAGCAGTCACTTAACAGTGACTTAACGGAGAGATTATTTCTTCATACTAGTTGATACTAGTTGAAAGCTTCCATTTGTCGTCCCCACCACCCTAATCCCTGGAGGAGATCTTGATTACTTTTGAACCATAGAGTTCAGTCCATTAAAGCCATGTGTTTTAAATAGAGAAAGCCTTCAGATTGGCTTCAGGATATAAGCTCTCTCAGATAAACAGAAGGAGCCATCTCCTGGCTGCCATTTTGCTTCATTTCTTTTGAAGTATTCACTTTGGCTGACTTAAGAGTTTTTGAGATTTACTTTTTATTGAAGTCATGTATTTGGATTCCATCAGTGTAATTTATTTCTATTTTATGTGTAAATAGGCTATTCTAATACAAAATAAACTTCAGAGTTTGTACAGCTGAAAAATAAAAAATAAAATAATAGCTACCCATATATTGTGACTACTACTATCATGCTAGCAGCTTTAAATATATTATCTCCAACCCTCACAATAGCTCTGCAAAGTATTTATTATTTCCTGAGTTTTATAACTGAGGTTAAGGAAAGTAAAGTCACTTTTGCAAAGATAGAAGAAGAATGAAAACTCAGTTCATGACTATCTAATTCCAAAACTCAGTCTCTATCTATGACAGCATTCTGTAAAGAAGAATGTAATGATATGAATTTCACACAACACATACAGAAATTAATTTCATTATATGTTATACACTTTACATGTATTTTTGACTTTTCAACACCATTCAGTAAATACTTTTAAGCAGCTACTATGAAGCAGGCCTAAGTGTTTAGGGAATCAAAACTGAATGAAACAGTTCCTGCCCTCAAGAACTTCATTAAATCTAGTGGGAAAAATAAGGCAAGGACAAGAATAGCTATAATATAAATCAAAACACTATTTTGAAACAAAGATAAATACTGCTACAGAGGTATAAATAGAGATTTCTGGACGTTCAAACGCAGAAGTCCTACAGGTCAGCATGTAACTATAATGTTTATAGCACTTACTATGTTCTAGCTCCTATTTTAAGTATATTATTTTTTAGTTCATTTAATTCTACCATGTTTGCATCATTATAAAGGTGATTTTAAAGACCACGTTTTAAAGAGGGGGAATAAGTTCTGAATGACTAAAATAACTTGTTTGAAGGTACCTATCCAATAAGAAGCTAAGTTGGCTAAGCCTGGAGTAGAAAGCAATGCACATAATTGCCCTGTGGTAGAGCCTATGTACTCAACTGCCTTGCCATTCTTCCTAGTTTGGAAAAGTCTCTGAATTGGGATACCTATCTAAAGTCTGCCTCAAAGGAAGGATGGACTTTCTATGTTTTTAGCAGGCCAAGATGGAATTCCCTTGCTGTCATCTCCTTTCTCTGTCAAAATGATGCTGCACAAATTGGGGTGCAGGGTTCTTTTCCTGCTTTGCAGAGGAAACATCACAGGCATCAGGAGATCAAGTGATTCCTTAATAAAACAAAAGTAAGTTGAAAAATTGTGAGCATTTTACTATGTTGACAAATACAAGAGAAATAAACACATTTATATAATTGTATTTTCTTAAACTATATCTGAAAGATATCCACAAAAGGGAGACTATGGTAGCTTCTGAGTCAGAGAATCATGTGAATATATTCACCATTAACAAAATAAATTTATTTTACAAGTCAAGTCTGAAGAATAAACAAAAAAACAAGCTGAATAATATTTGCAGATGAGAGTGAAAATAAGGAAATGAGACTAATTTTCTTATAAAACCTAGGCTAATTCATCATGGAGCAATTAAAAATTTTTTTCAAAAAAGATCTGACTTCTTCCTTTGAATTAATGTTTTCGAACTGTGGTGTTGGAGAAGACTGTTCAGAGTCCCTTAGACTGCAAGGAGATCAAACCAGTCAATCCTAAAGGAAATCAACCCTGCATATTCTTTGGGAGGACTGATGCTGAAGCTGAAGCTCCAATACTTTGGCCACTTGATGCAAAAAGCTGACTCATTGGAAGAGACCCTGATGCTGGGAAAGCTGGAAGGCTGGAGAAAGGGATGACAGAGGACAAAATGGTTGGATGGCATCACCAACTCAATGGACATGAGTTTAAGCAAACTCTGGGAGATAGGCAAGGACAGGGAAACCTGGCATACTGCAATCCACGGGGTCGCAAAGAGTCGGACACAACTGAGTGGCTAAATAACAACAATTTCCTTTGATGACCTGATACACAACATATATTTTGAAGTATATATTCCATACATTTTAAACTATTTCTTTTCAATGTACAATATTCTCATTATCTTAAAGTCATACTTTATATATATATAAAAACATACAGAAATAAATCTAATAAAAGAAAGTATCACTTCACTTTCTTATAATTCTGCAAATCATTGTTACAAATGCATAGAAACATATATTCTTCAAGTAAATAAACTCCTAATACCAGAATTAATCTGGTTTTAAAACTTTTTCACTATGAATAATGAATAAAACTTCTGATAAATAAAAAATAATTCTTTCAAAATTACATATATTTTCTGCAAAACTTAGCATTACAGAATACTATTTTCAACTCAGCCTATTGTTTGTCTGTGTGTGCGTTTTCCAAAAATCTGTGTACTGATTGCCAGAGCTTTCCATTCCTTTTCACCTGTGTTTGTCAGTGTTTGACACAGCATCTAATATTTGTAGGTATATATGTTGTACATCAATACATTCCCAAGCACATGCCCCAACACTTGAAACATTAGGACTTGCTATAGGTAGCAAGAAAAATAAAGTGTGTTATTAGACTTTTTTAATAGCAGAACTTATTATTATCTTGAAAAATACACATGGTATTGGTAAAGACAAAAGCATGAGAATGGTAAATCACTCTGACTTTCAAGGACTAAATGTTCTTTCAAATAGTTAACTGCAAAATGCATAAAACACACAAAAATGGTATGTAACAAATAGTAAAACATAATGGAAGTTTAACTGTTAAAAGAATAAAAGCTGCTAAATGAATAATAACAGTAGCCAAGCCGGCTATGATTTCATGCTTTTCCATTGTAAAATGTAGGAATCCATTCACATATAATAATTCCAGAGGGAAAGTTCCACACTTTTAAGATATTTGTGGAGTAACAAGTCAGCTTCGCTAGAATCCTCCTCATTTTAAAGACAAACAAAACCTGCTGATGCGTCACATTCCTGAGAAAAGTAAAGATTAAACCTCCCAAGAACTAGAAATGCTTAGCTACCTGCTTCCCAAAATAATTTTCTCTATACCCATACAAGAGACAGGCAAATAAGCAAGGACAGAATGAGCACTGTTACCATGAAAGTGGGAGTGGGGGGGGCGGCACTTCCCTGGTGGCTCAGATGGTGAAGAATCTGCCTGCACTGTGGGAGACCTGGGTTTGATCCTGGGGTCAGGAAGATACCTAGGAGAAGGGAAGGGCTACTCCAGTATTCCTGCCTGGAGAATTCCATGGACAGAGGAGCCTGGTGAGTACAGTCCATGGGGTCACAAAGAGTTGGCCATGACTGTGCAGTTAACACACACACACACACACACACACACACACACATCATTAAAGGGCACACGTTGTAAGGACCAGTCTGCTTACTTAAACGACTGGTGAACTCCATCCTAGGATCCTCTAGTGTTTTATACTGTACACACTCCCTCAACAAGACAGAATTAGTACATTTTTCAAAAGGTCGTTCTTTTCTAGTCTAACAAAAATGGAACTCGGTTTACATTTGACAGAAATAACTAAACTGGGAAAACGCTTTACTTCCTCCCTAATTCCTTGTGGTAGATTGATTGCATGATTGACCCTAATTCTTTGCTTTATAATATGAGTTTCGAATTCCTCCCACTGAAGCAGAGTTTATTTCCACAGCCAATGTGACCTGCTTTGGGCAGAAGGAAGAAGGAGAAGTTGCAGGGACCTGTTCCAACCCTAGGCCTCAAGAGGCCTTGCACACTCCCAGTTACTCTCCTACATCTCTCCCCTCATCATAAGAACATCTTGACACTATCTGTTGGTCATAGGAAGAGGACAATGAGAGACACACTGAGCAGAGCCACGTAGCCAGCCAACTGCAGTGAACTCATCCAAGACTGGCAAAACTGTCCACCCGAGCTTAGCGTAGATAAGTTGACTTACAAAGTCATGAAAAATAATAACTAACTATTGTTTTAAACCACTGGGTTTTGGCATAGTTTATTACTCAGCAACACCTGATATTTCCTCCAGCACTCTTTTCAGTTATTTCTTTTTTCTATTTGAATGTTCCTCCTGATCATTTGTAGGCTCATGAGCCACAGCAGTACATTAACAATGTAAGAAGTATTCCCTTAGAGTAGGAGTTTCGATTTCACTTTAGGTTTAAAATCTTTCCTACTCTCTAAAGAATGCTTTAAAAAACACATGACACAGAATAATCTGATTTGTCCTTACTCAGCTCTGTCTTTAATAAAAAAATTAATCAAATTAAAATAAACCTCAATAACATTCAAAAGGGAATGAATATATAATACAAGGTATTTTAATTATTATACATTAATATATTCTTACTATAAGTAAATGATTGTATACTACAATCAAGTGAAATTTATCCAATAAATGTAAGGTTTCTTTAATAGCCAGAAATTAGTCTATGTAATAATACATATCAGCAAAGGACAAAAATTGCACAGTTATCTCCATAGATGCAGAAAAAGCATTTGCCAAAATCTAGCAGTCTTCCTCCTTGAAAGGAAAGTTATGACCAACCTAGACAGCATATTAAAAAGCAGAGACATTACTTTCTCAACAAAGGTCCGTCTAGTCAAGGCTATGGTTTTTCCAGTAGTCATGTATGGAGGTGAGAGTTGGACAGTGAAGAAAGCTGAGCATGGAAGAATTGATGCTTTCGAACTGTGGTGTTGGAAAAGACTCTTGAGAGTCCCTTGGACTGCAAGGAGATCCAACCAGTCCACTCTAAAGGAAATCAGTCCTGGGTGTTCATCGGAAGGACTAATGTTGAAGCTGAAACTCCAATATTTTGGCCACCTGATGCGAAGAACTGACTCATTTGAAAAGATCCTGATGTTGGGAAAGATTGAAGGTGGGAGGAGAAGGCGATGACAGAGAATGAGATGGTTAGATGGCATCACCGACTCAATGGACATGAGTTTGGGTAGGCTTCAGGAGTTGGTGATGGACAGGCAGGCCTGGCGTGCTATGGTTCATGGGGTTGCAAAGAGTCGGACATGACTGAGTGACTGAACTGCACTGAACAGTCTTCCATAACATTAAACGGGCAAAGAGAAAAAACTTCAACCAGAAAAGAAGGAAATTTTCTGAACCTGATTAAAAAAATCCGTGAAAAATACAGAGTTAACGTCACACTTAATGTTGAAGGACTGAATGTTTTACACTACATCCAGGAACAAAACAAGGATACCCTACTCTTGTTACTTCTATCAACATTCTACTAGAAGTCCTAGCCAGGGAAATTAGACAAGGAAAAAAAATAAAAAGCATCCAGATTTGAAATGAAGAAGTAAAGATATCTCTATTTACTGATGACATGATTGTTTATATGACAAATCTTAAGGGATCCATAAAAACATAATTGGAATTAACAAGCTTACCAAGCATACAGGGTAAAGTATCAATACACAAATATTGACTGAATTTCTATATCTAGCAATAAACAAAGTGAAATCAAGAGAATAATTATATTTATAACAGCATTAAAAAATGAAATTCTTTGCAACAAATTTAACAAGTTACATGTAAAATTTATGCTCTGAAAACTATGAAACATTGCAGAAAGAAATTAATAAAAACATAAATAAGTGAAAAGACATTTCATGTTCATAGATCAGAAGACTTAAAAGCTCACTTTTGCAGTCAATTGATTTCCAACAAGTTGAAAATATTCTTTTCAACAGATTCTAATGAGAAAGCTGGATACCCACATGCAAAAAAAAAAAAAAAAAAAGGATAAAACACTTCCTAATACCACACACAAAATTAACTAAATATATCATAGATATAACTTTAAATGCTAAAGGCATAAAACTTTTAGAATAAAATATGAGAGCAAATCTCTGTTAGTCTACATTACTGCAGAGAGTGGCTTGGCTTCCTGGGCTGGTTGCTACAGGTTGTATTAATAGATCAGAAATTAATTTTTATATATGATCTGGCCATTGTCCATTGATACATTCAGTCTCTCAGAATCAAAGACTAGGTATGGAATCAATTTACTCAATTTTTTTTAGTCTCAGTGACTTCATTTGTAAAATCAGATTATTAGTAGCTTTCTCAGGGAAAGCACTTTGGGATTCCCTGGTGGCTCAGATGGTAAAGTGTCTGCCTGCAATGCAGGAAGACCTGGGTTTGATCCCTGGGTCGGGAAGATCCCCTGGAGAAGGGAATGGCAACCCACTCCAGTATTCTTGCCTGGAAAATCCCATGGACTGAGGAGCCTGGTAGGCTACAGTCCATGGGGTTGCAAAGAGTCGGACACGACTGAGCGAGTTCACTTTCACTTTCAGCTTTCTCTGCATAGGGTAACACTCTATAGCCCATACAATTATTTTCTGAACTAAAAAAAAATCCATCAGCTGTTTGTGAGAACTGTAATAGGCCTTGATGCATGCATGCTAAGTTACTTCAGTCGTGTCCAACTCTGTGCAACCCTGTGGACTGTAGCCCACCTGGCTCTTCTGTCCATGGAATTCTCCAGGCAAGAAAACTGGAGTAGGTTGCCATTTCCTCTTCCAGGGGATCTTCCTGACCCAGAGATGGAACTCACATCTCCTATGTCTCCTGTATTGGCAGGCGGATTCTTTACCACTAGTGCTACCTGGGAGGCCCAATAGGCTTTGACAGGGCTTCAATCAGCTCAGTTCAGCTCAGGCACTCAGTCGTGTCCAACTCCTTGTGATCTCATGGACTGTAGCATGACAGGCTTTCCTTTCCATCACCAAGGCCCAGAACCTACTCAAACTCATGTTCATTGAGTCGGTGATGCCATCCAACCATCTCATCCTCTCTCGTCCCCTTCTCCTCTTGCCTTCAATCTTTCCCAGCCTCAGGGTCTTTTCAAATGAGTCAGTTCTTCCCATCTCGTGGCCAAAGGATTGGAGTTTCAGCTTCAGCATCAGTCCTTCCAATGAACATTCAGGACTGATTTCCTTTAGGATGGACTGGTTGAATGTGGCATCTTGAAATAAAAGATATACTGAAATAGCACAGTGCCTGGCACAAATTAGGTTAACAATTAGTAGATTTTCTTTCCCCCTTTTTCCTTAGTGTTTCAGTGTAGGATAATCCTTGTGACACTGTTTTGGTAGTGTGCATACAAAATTAAGGGCTTCCTTGGGGGCTCAGATGGCAAAGAATCCACCTGCAGTGCAGAAGATCTGGGTTCAATCCCTGGGTTGGGAAGATCCCCTGGAGAAGAGAACAGCTACCTACTCCAGTATTCTTGCCTGGAGAATTCCATGGACAGAGGAGCCTGGTGGGCTACAGTCCATGGGGTTGCAAAGAATCAGACATGACTGAGCGACTTTCACTTTCATACAAAGTGAAAATACACAATTATACATGATAAGAAGTATGACTGCAAAACGGCACTTTTTCTCTTCAAGTGCATACAGATTTACCAAAGAAACGTAGATAATATTCCTGCTGCTTCCTAAGAGTGAGTAACAGTCCTTAACGAGTTTCTCCCGTCATTCAATCACATACTTTGGGCTTCATTCCCTTTAACGGGTCAGTCTATTCAAACTAAACATTTCATGCAAGTTTTATGTATGCAATTAAATAGTTTGGCACTGAAGAAAGTCTTCATTTTTCTGTTCTGTTTACTAAAGAACACAGAAACAATTGGCTCAGCAGGATGTTTTCTTCACTACAAATTCCATTTGGTACAATTTAGTCCTCATCTCTCCTTTCAAGAATAATGTTTATGGAGCATTAGCTTACATGGTGTGAATGGTTTCTTAGTTTTTCTAGTCTCCAAATTAGCATATTCCCATCCCCATCCATAAGATGGACAACAGTTAAAACATCAACAGACACAACAATATTGAGGCCTGGAAAAGATGTGTTTAAGCCCACCCTGTAAAGGCACATGGTATACACTCCAAGTCTGGGATGTCCTATGAAGGACTAGCCCACTCCCACTCCCAACAGACTCCTCAAGTTATCACAGAAATCACATTGCTTTTGTATTCCAGATGTTTTCCTATAATCTGACGAGGAGCTATAAATTCACAGCTTACATAAACTTAATTCTGAGACATTCAAGTAAGCAGGAGTTATACCAACCTGGGTGTTTGGGTAGCTTCCTAATACAAGAGAAAAATCAGCATACTGATTAAAACCCGAAGATTCTAGCAAGTTACATGTAGCAAGCATTCCAGTAAAAAGCCATAGAAGTATAGTAAAGCAAGGATTCTATAAAAGTTTATTATTTTTAATACTTTCTATTAGTAGTCTGAGTTTTTGGGAAAATTGGCCAGCTTTTCCAGAATACACTTGTGGCATATGAAGTCTTTAGTTTCTTCATACATTTTAAAATTTATTTAGTAACCATTTGTAAATGCTAGTGAATAGCAGATAATACATGGAGAATTTAAAAATAAATCTGATGTTTTAAAGTGGGCTGATAACCAGTTCATAAAATATGGAACACTGTAGTCTATTTTTTGGTTCAGTCACCTCTAACTCATCTTTAATTAAGGGATTTAAACAGACAAATAAATCTATTATATTTCTCATAGAGTGTTGATAAACATTGTTGATTATACATAGATAGATAGATAGATAGATAGATAGATAGATAGATAGATAGATGCTCAGTCCTGTCTGACTCTGAGACCCCATGGACTGTAGCCTACCAGGCTTCTCCATCCATGGGATTTTCCAGGCAAGAGTACTGGAGTGGGTTGCCAATTCCTTCTCCAGGGGATCTTCCTGACCCAGGGATCGAACCTGGGTCTCCCACATTGCACGCAGACACTTTACCCTCTGAGCCACCAGGGACTCAGCCTATATGTATGATTATACATACACTGATTCAATTTTTTTCTGGCCTTGTATAGACTCACCCATTCTTAGAACTTTATCTATATCTCTATCTCACTCTCTCATTCTCTATATTATTTTAATTATATCATAAGCCACCCACCATGGTAATTCACTCTGTAAACAAACATATATGACATCAACTATCACCTCAACTTAATTGGTTGGGTATTGATAGTTGGTATAAACAAATGGATCATTAACAAGTTCTTACTGGTTGAAGTCAGTCATGATCCAATTAAGACAAATAGCAATTCATATACACATTCTCAAGAATGCAATAATTCCTAACATTGAGGGCTTACTCTGTGACAAGCACTCTGTATATGCTCTTTATTTATTAACTGCTTTAATACTCACAATAACTCTATTACATTGGTGCCATTATCATCATCATTTTATATATGAGGAAATTAAGTCATAGACAGTTAAATGACTTCAGTATCACATAGTTAGTAAGTATCAGATGGTCTTTGAACCTAAGCTTCCAATCATAGCATCTTTTACTACTTACTGCTCAATATTCTCTTTTTATGGGAGTTGTAATAGCCTCTCTTGCAGAAGGAAATGGCAACCCACTCCGATATTCTTGCCTGGAGAATCCCATGGACAGAGTAGCCTGGGAGGCTACATACAGTCCATGGGGTCGCAAGCGTTGGATGCAACTTAGCAACTAAACCACCACCACCACCAGTAGCCACTATTATTGTATTCTTTTGCATAATTTCTAATTTACATACCATATGGAGGTTCTCATTTGTTCTAACTGCTTAACAACGTCCAATTTAAATAACCTGAAGATGAAATACCCCTCCAAATACAATCTTCCTCTGAAAAGCCTCATGCATATTTGCCTTCTACTTTAAGCAAAATCCACACTAGTGTGAACAAAGCAGAAGTCTGCTAATGTGCAAAGACTGAATGTTTTGAATCTCTGAGTTCAGCCAGGGGGGTGTGCTTACTGTGGCCCAGTACCAGATGAGGGGTCCAGCCAAGTGTTAGTCATATGAGTCTCAATTTAGCTGCTTAGCGTGCCAGAGTACAGCCACCTGATTTCATATCTTTGAAACTAAGTACAGTACCGCTAAGCACGCTTAAATGAGTCCTCTTTATAAAATCAGGAGAATTGAAATACAAATAGATTTCATAAGGTAATTATCTTCTACCAAGTAAACTCAATCAAGAAAATTGACTTCTTTTTCTTTCCATTAAACTCAAAAAAGTTATTTGTAACAAAATGGTTAACAGCACACAGTACCTGAATATAGGCTCTAGTGACTCAATTAAGTCTTGAGCAAGTTACTTAAAACCTCTAGGCTTCAGTTAGCTCATCTGAAAACTGAGTTATAAATTGGGAATTACAGTTGTTAGAGAAACTGAATTAATAAGTGTAGAGTTCTTCTAACAGTATGGCATCTAATCCCGCTTCTTAAGAAGTATACATTCACACTGCAGGCCTTGCAAAGCACTTTGATCCTTATTTCTCATTCTCTATGTCAGTTTTTCTTAGTGGGCAGAAATAATGGCTGCCCAAATAAAGAGAAGAGTAAAAAAGTGCAGAATATATGATTTATTGAATGAAAGCTGCTGCTGCTGCTGCTAAGTCACTTCAGTCGTGTCCAACTCTGTGCGACACCACAGACGGCAGCCCACTAGGCTCTGCCATCCCTGGGATTCTCCAGGCAAGAACCTGGAGTGGGTTGCCATTTGCTTCTCCAATGCATGAAAGTTAAAAGTGAAAGTGAAGTCGCTCAGCTGTGTCCGACTTTTTGCGACACCACAGACTGCAGCCCACCAGGCTCCCCCGTCCCTGGGATTTTCCAGGCAAGAGTACTGGAGTGATTTGCCGTTGCAGATTATTGACAGTGATTTTTATCTGTGACTGATGGAAACAAAGGTGGTTTCTGGAGTGCCACTACAATCATGCAAGGTAAACAAAGATGTGCTTAGAGATACAGGGGATGGAAGGACTAGAAAGTACCTTACATGAAATGTTTGGTTGTGATAATACCAACGCAGTGCACAAGCAACTTTTCCAGGGTAAAAACAACTCATCTATACTCTGACATACTATATTTCTATCTCAACTAACACATTAAAAGCAAAGATGTTCACATGTGTGTTTGTGAGCCCACTTCATTCACCACCCAAAATATTAACTATAACACATTTTACAATAACAAGCATTAAAAAATAAACTCTCCATTCTTTTTTCCCTCAGCAGCATCCAAAGAACTATGCAGTTATGTGGAGGATTTCCATTTGAATAGGAAAATGAAGAGGAATCTCGGGAATGGAAAGATATTTAAAAACAAATTTAAGTAACAACAAGTTCACTCTACAAAGAAAGCGAAAACAGCACTAAGTTCTGGCTTCCTCTGCCCCCTGGGTTGCTTAGTCTATCCAAAACAAGCTGGGGGCTAGTGGGCACACAAATCACCAGTGTGGTCAGTTAAGTACAAGAGCAGTCATTTACCCGAGTTCCCCTATTCTAAAAATTCAGTGATCATTCATGGCAATGAGGCCAAACATGCTGTTGCCTTGACCACAGAGTCATCTAACATCTGTTGCCCCTTCACTCTTGGCTCACCTAGCCCTTGTTCTTGGCCACAGAGGTTTTGGTCTGGCTGCTCACAATCATGTATAATCCTGGAAGAAGGGGAGAAAAATCAAATAAAGATATGGTCACACCAAGATGATTCCAGTCATGCTGTCTCAGTTCAATAATATATGCACAACCAAAGGAATATTTGGGTCTTGAAGTAATTTTAAATTAGAACTTTATAAACAAACAAGGAACCAGAGATAAATTGCCAACCCCCACTGGATCATAGAAAAAGCAAGGGAATTCCAGAAAAATATCTACTGCAACACTGACTATACTAAAACATTTGACTGTGTGGATCAGAACAAACTGTGGAAAATTCTTAAAGAGATGGGAATACCAGACCACCTTACTTAATACACCAGCTAACCTGTAAGGTTTTTTACTGTACATATGCAAAACCTGTATGCGGGTCAAGAAACAACAGTTAGAACCAGGCATGGAACAAGGGACTGAGGGAGGAAAGGAACAGGCTGAGCTGACTCCGTCTTGAAAAAGAAGGAAACTCCATCTTGCACTTTCAGTGAGCTTTGGACTATGTGCCTGGTAGCCATGGGGATAACATACCTACGGCCAAACTGGTCTCCTGGACTGATAAACACCAGATTCCATACCAAGATTTCCCATCACCAAAAAGAATGTAATAATCCCCTGTATAGTCAATCACCTTTGTAATCTTCATAGCACCCACTGGCGTAGGCTACAACGTATAACCAGCTAACGCTTCTGATCATGAATCATGGCTGTAACCAGATTGTATTTCCCTTTAACACTTTCCAAGCTAGGTTTAAGGAATTTGGGGATGTGGGCTTGAGCAGTACACTTAAGGTATACAAGATTTTCACAAAAGTTGGTCGGGGTCCTTGGCTAAGAGGAGACTGCCTTGGGTCCGCCTGTGTAATAAACTGCACTCCACTATCTGTCTGCATTGTCCTTCTGAGTGAGTTTGTTTCTCAGAACGTGTGGCTACAACAGGACTGCTTCCAAACTGGGAAAGAAGTATGTCAAAGCTGTATGTTGCTACCCTGCTTATTTAACTTATATGCAGAGTATATCATGTGAAATTCTGGCTGGATGAATCACAAGCTGGAATCAAGACTGCTGGGAGAAATATCAATATCCTCAGATATGCAGATGAATCCATCCTTATGGTAGAAAACAAGAAGGAAGTAAAGAGCCCCTTGATTAAGGTGAAAGAGGAAAGTGAAAAACCTGGCTTAAAACTCAACCTTCACAGAATTAAGATCATGGCATCTGGTCCCATCACTTCGTGGTAAATAGATGGGAAACAATGTAAACAATGAAAGACTTTATTTTCTTGGCCTTCCAAATCACTGCAAGTGCTGACTGTAGCCATGAAATTAAAGGACGTTTGCTCCTTGGAAGAAAAGCTGTAACAAACCTTGACAGCATATTAAAAAGCAGAGACATTACTTTGCCAACAAAGGTCCATCTGGTCAAAGTTATGGTTTTTCTGGTTGTCATGTATGGATGTGAGAGTTGGATCATAAAGAAGGCTGAAGCCCAAAGAATGGATACTTTCAAAACGTGGTATTGGAGGAGACTCTTGAGAGTCCCTTGGACTGAAAGATCAAACCAGCAATCCTAAAGGAAATCAACCATGAATATTCTTTGGAAGGACTGATGCTTTAGCTGAAGCTCCAATACTTTGGCCACCTGGTGTGAAGAGCTGACTCATTAAAAAAGACCTTGATGCTGGGAAAGACTGGAGGTAGGAGGAGAAGGGGATGCCAGAGGACAAGATGGTTGGATGGCATCACCAATTCAATGGACATGAGTTTGAGCAAGCTCCAGGAAATGGTGAAGGACATTTCTCCAAAAAAGACATACATATGGGTAACAAACACATGAAAAGATGCTCAACATCACTCATTATCAGAGAAATGCAAATCAAAACCACAATGAGGTACCATCTCATGCCGATCAGAATGGCTGCTATCAAAAAGTCTACAAACAATAAATGCTGGAGAAGGTGTGGAGAAAAGGGAGCCCTCTTACACTGTTGGTGGGAATGCAAACTAGTACAGCCACTCTGGAGAACAGTGTGGAGATTCCTTAAAAAACTGGAAATAGAACTGCCATGTGACTCAGCAATCCCACTCCTGGACATACATACCGAGGAAACCAGAACTGAAAGAGACACATGTATACCAATGTTCATCACAGCACTGTTTACAATAGCTAGGACATGGAAGCAACCTAGATGCCCATCAGCAGATGAATGGATAAGGAAGCTGTGGTACATATACACCATGGAATATTACTCAACCATTAAAAAGAATTCATTTGAATCAGTTCTAATGAAATGGATGAAACTGGAGCCCATTATACAGAGTGAAGTAAGCCAGAAAGATAAAGACCAATACAGTATACTAACGCATATATATGAAATTTAGAAAGATGGTAACAATGACCCTATATGCAAGACAGCAAAAGACATATAGATGTAAAGAACAGATTTTTGGACTTTGTGGGAGAAGGCGAGGGTGGGGTGATTTGAAAGAATAGCATTGAAACATGTGTATTATCATATGTGAAATAGATCTCCAGTCCAGGTTCGATGCATGAGACAGGACGCTCAGGGCTGGTGCACTGGGATGACCCTGAGGGATGGGATGGGGAGGGAGGCGGGAGGGGGGTTCAGGATGGGGAACACATGTAAATCCATGGCTGATTCATGTCACTGTATGGCAAAAACCACTACAATACCGTAAAGTAATCAGCCTCCAATTAAAATTTTAAAAATTAATTTTAAATTTAAAAAAAAAACGAAAAAAGATGGTGAAGGACAGGGAAGCCTGGCATGTGGCAGTCCACAGGGTCACAAAGAGTCAAACATGACTGACCAACTAAACAACAACAAAACACTGTGAAAAGCAAGCATCCAAATGCATGAATATAAAACTGTCTTTAGCCCACTTGATTTTGTAATGTTTCTCTGTATAAGAGCGATTCTCCTCTCTTTTGCTCCAGGAACCTCATTCTATTCAGAAGAAAAATCAGTCCTTCACTGTTAATCAGTTCCTACATTAAACTTTATTGTTTATCTACCCACAAATAAACAATACTCTGACAGGCTAAATAATCACAATTCCTGAGCATATATTCTTTTCTGTAGGCTCCCCTTCTACCTGGAGAACTCTCCATAGGCGATCTAAGACAGAGTTAAAATGTCTCCCTTTCCTCTTCTCATCCCAAGGTAGCTGACTCCTTCAGCTTTGTAGCACTCCTGTTGAAAGTAGCTCTTTTGCTCCTTTCCTGTTTGCCCATTTCTGTCCCCCTATAACCTTAAAAGAACTTAATTATAGGAATGAGACCACTCAGTTCTGTTCAGTTCAGTCGCTCAGCTCTGTCCGACTCTTTGTGACTCCATGGACTGCCACACGCCAGGCTTCCCTGTCCTTCACCAACTCCCAGAGCTTGCTCAAACTCATGTCCATCGAGTTGGTGATGCCATCTCATCCTGTCATCCCCTTGTCCTCCTGCCTTCAATCTTTCCCAGCATCAGAATCTTTTCCAATGAGTCAGTCTTCACATCAGGTGGCCAAAGCATTGGAGCTTCAGCATGAGTCCTTCCAATGAATATTCAGGACTGATTTCCTTCACAATTGACTGGTAGGCAATTTTAAACTAACTCCTGTCGTTTGCTCTCCTGAACACACTAACCTGTTGACTCTTCCTAGATAAAAAGAAGAATGAAGAATTAAGTAGTTTAAATATGACTTGCTCTCTACCCTCTGCGCCCTCCTTAGATATCATGTAGGCACATCACTCAAGCAAGATAACATCAGCCAGTCTCCAGACAATGGAGAATGATGCAGAACCCAACCTCCTGTCTCAGTTCATTGAGATTCTTGCTTCTTTTACCCTTTAAAAACTCTCATGGCTGAATAGAATCTTCAGAGCTGGTCTGGGGACATAAGTCCCCCTCCTCCCTAGATTGCTGACTTTTCTTATTAAAGCATCTTTCCTTTCTACTGATATTTTCCTCAGTTATTGGTTTTTGAGCAGCAAGCAGCCAAATCTGAGTTTGGTAACACTGTTAATTCACACATTAAATTGTCCTATCACTGCTGATTTATGCTTTTGCTCAATAGATATCTGGTGTCTCAAAGTCAAGAAACTTTTATTATTCATCTTTGTAAACCTGATGCTCCAGCAATAAGTAATATTGAATAAATGAGTGAAGAAATCAGTAAATGGTTCAGCATGTATGTCAATATTCTAATGGATATCTTGGTAAAAGAAGAGGAAATGAAACCAAGCAGGACCCTGTGGGGATCCTCGCTCCCCCAAGATTGTAGATATTCTTTGTCCAAGGTTGGAAAAAGAGACACTCAGGTTGGTTATCTGTTTGTATGGCTCATCTAGAAAGCATGTATGAATCTAGAAGGGGGAAATCCTGACTACTACAAGTTGAGTGGTGTTGTAGATTGGGTAGATGACATACATGTGCTAGGAGTTAGAAATACTAACCCAAATCTGAAAATATTACTAGACAGACTAATAGACTGAAGCACAAGAACTGCTCTGTTAAGGTTTCAATCAAAAAATAGGCATATGACAACACAATGATAATGTGAACTAATGTTCTTTCTTCTCCACAGTGCCTGAATCAGTCTCGGCATATAGGAGGTGCTTATCAAATGTTGATTAACACAGTAAGTAATTTCCTGCCTTCTAGGTCTGAACTCCCTGTTAAGTGTTCACTGTCTCTTGCTTTTTGTCCTAGTCAAAGCAGGTCTCTACTTTCACGAATGTCAAGAGAATCATCTCCTACTGGAAAGGGCATTGCCACTAGTGTTAGACTAAGTGTTAGTTGCTCAGTTATGTCCGACTTTCTGCAACCTCATGGACTGTAGCCCACCAGGCTCCTCTGTCTGTGGGATTTTCCAGGCAAGAATACTGGAGTGGGTTGCCATTCCCTCCTTCAGGGGATCTTCCTGACCCAGGGATACAACCCAGGTTTCCCGTATTGCAGGCAGATTCCTTACCATGTGAGCCATCAGGAAGCCCTCATGGAAGAAATAACTCAAGTCCTATATACACATAGATGTGCTCAGGTTTGAGGATTTTTTTAAGAAAGCCTTATAATCAAAGAAGTTAAAATATAATGTAGTTTCTTAGTCTTGGAGACACGGACCATTCATAATTCTTTCCCCAACTCAGCTGAGACTCATTTGGGAATACTAAAAGATAACTTAGATGTCTTATCACCCTCTGAGTCACAAATTTTTCCAGATTTCAGAATATTACTCTTGAATCAATCTTCAGACTCATGTAAAATATAAGGCCTCATCAACACCAGTATTCTGAGGCCAGGTGAGATTCTATTTCTATTCAAAATTCTAGCACAAGGGTCACAAGGAAAATACAGCACAATTTTATAAGAAACATCATGATGACACCTCTACGTGTATGTACAACTTTAGAGAATGCCTTCTAAGTTTAAGAAATATTCTTAAAAGTTATCTTTTTTCTAAGCCTAAAAGAATTCCTATAGAACGAGTATTTGTAATCTTTTTTATTTTTTTCCTAAAATCTGGAATGGGAACTAAACAAGCATGAAAGAACTAAGGGAACAGTAATCAAGGCTTAGGTGTAGACATGAGGAGTTAGGGTTGAGGCAGTCACCATCATTAATAACATACGAAGAATTGATGACTTATTTGTGCAACAAGGAGGGGAATTAATCAGATATTGGGAGGATATCTGCACATCAGGCTGGACAGCCTACAGAGTGAAAAACATATTTTTCAAACACTCAGGCCTTTAAGGAAAGAAGAGTGATTTATTAGATTGGTAAAACAGAAAAATGTGTTTGCACAAGTGTGGCCCTTCAACTTCAGACTAGTTGACCTACCTTGTGGGTTGATTTTCTTATTTCTACTGCAGGAAGCTACTGAAGCAGGCTCTGTCCTGAGTGGGGAGGCCTAAGGGTTTCCTGCTTCACTGCCTGCAACTGGGTGAAAAGGCCCATCCAATTCTGTCAAAAGACTAAGTCATCCATTTGTGGTCCAGGTTGCACTCTTAAATTCAGCATTGTCGTAGTAAAACTAGTATGTTGATCTCTATCTGCATCCTGTGTCTACTTCTCCATTGGTTCAGAAGCCACGTTGGAAAAAGACATAATTAACACTCCCCAAACCCCAAGAATCATCAATGTTTAAGGAAAGAAACACGCAAAAAAAAAAAAGGTCATACTGGTGAGTGACATTCCATGAGAATGCAGTGTCATGGAAACAAGAAGAGTCAAGTTTCAAGAAGGAGGTGGTGGTTAACCATCAAGTTAATGGAGATGTCCATCTCAGACAGGATGAAAATGTATAAGTGAGGTGTTGGTCCTTATTAAGTTGCCAGTTAATCAGTTTTCAGCCACCAGGTCCCAGCAAAGAAGGATAATGCAAAGGCAGGTTAAAAAGGTTCTGGCCACCAATTCAAGTGTGTGGAGGTGGGGCTTTTCCCACCAGAACATCAAGCAAGCAATGCTCTGATACATCTGGGTGTCCTACAATTTAACTCAATTCTGATATTATCTGCCTGGAGAAAGCACCAGATCTTACACATTAAAGGTTGAGTCCTACAAGACCCTCCCCTCTTCAGACAGCAATCAGAAGCCCAGGTTATCACTGTATCTGACTGACAAGCTATAGATGGTAGGTTCCAATGAACCTCTTCCTTGAATTTCAGAAACCAGTCATATGTCTAGGCTGTTACCTATACTTCTGACAAACTAGCTGTACATCAGAGGTTCCCATGATCCCCTCTTTGGGTTCAAATAGTTGCTGGAATGGCTCATAGAACTCAGAGAAACATGTTACTGACTAAATCATCAGTTTACTATAAAAGGATAAAATTCAGGAACAAGTAGATTGAACAGAAGCCCAGGGCACCATACAGAGAAGAAGCACCAAACTCCCACACCTCCTCCAAGTGTACCACTCTGCCCACACTTCCACGTTTTTGCCAGTTGCAAAGCTCAATGAAATGCGTTCTTTTGGATTTTATGAGGCCTTCAAAACACAGGTAAGATTTTTTTCTTTTTTTTTCATTTATTTCTATTAGTTGGAGGTTAATTACTTTGCAATATTGTAGTGGTTTTTGCCATACATTGACATGAATCAGCCATGGATTTATATGTGTTCCCCATCCCGATCCCCGCCTCACCTCCCTCCCCATCCCATCCCTCTGGGTCTTCCCAGTGCACCAGCCCCCAGCACTTGTCTCATGCATCCAACCTGGGCTGGTGATCTGTTTCACACTTGATACATGTTTCAATGCTATTCTCTCAGATCATCCCACCCTCACCTTCTCCCACAGAGTCCAAAAGTCTGTTCTATACATCTGTGTCTCTTTTTCTGTCCTGCATATAGGGTTATCATTACCATCTTTTTAAATTCCATATATATGCATTAGTATACTGTATTGGTCTTTATCTTTCTGGCTTACTTCACTCTGTATAATGGACTCCAGTAAGATTTGAGTAAATAATTGTCCACTGGTGGTTGATTCAACCTCCAGACCCCCCCTTCTCCCTCCCAGAGGCTGTGGGATAGAACTGAAAGTTCCAACCCTCTAAAGACCTGGTTGGCTCCACTATCAACCAGCCCTCATTTTCAGATATTTTCCCAAAAGTTGCCTCATTAAAATAACAAAAGATACTTTGCTCTCTTCATTTAAAAAACTCCGAAGGTTTTAGAGGCTTTATGCCGGAAATGACCAAAAAACCCTAATATGTATTTCTTCTTCCCGACCCAGGGATCGAACCCGGATCTGCCTCATTGTAGGCAGACTCTTAACCATCTGAACCACCAGGGAAGCCCTCTTATGAATCACAGTGTCATGCAAACGCTCTAAAGTAAGATGACACAAGAAGCAAAATCAAATAAATGTATGTAATAAAATAGAAACAGACTCACAGGTATAGAGAAGACACTAATTGTCAGCAGTGCAGAGAGGGAAGGCAGGAGAGGCAAGACAGGTGCATGGCATTAGTTTAAAGTAACTAAGCAACATGAATATACTGTAAAGCACAAAGAAATATGGTCATTATTTTGTAATAAATTTAAATGAAGTACAACCTATAAAAATATTGAAACACTAGTCATATACTGAAATAATATATTATTAATAAATCAATTATACTTTAATTTAAAAAAAGAAAAAAGAACTCCCAATTATAATCAGTTGAGGGGGTGGGGGTGTCAGCCTAGTCCCTTAGTCAGTCCAATTAGCTTTTGTTGTAATTGCTAGCTAACACATAAATAAAGGTGGACTCGGGCCATAGCATTGCTTAAGACAACAGAGAAAGTTAGGGTTGTCACCAGTGCCACACGGCACACTCCCTAGTGTAACAAGAAGGGACTAACGTAGATAAGAACATAGCTTTCTATACAGAGTGTTCCCCAAGTGGCTCAGGGGTAAAGAATTCACCTGACAATGCAGGAGACACAAGAAATGTGGGTTCGATCCCTGGTTTGCGAAGATCCCTTGGAGGAGGAAATGGCAACCCACTCCAGTATTCTTGCCTGGAAAATCCCATGGACAGAGGAGTCTCGTGGGCTACAGTCATGGGGTCGGAAGAGCTGGACACGACTGAGCATGCATATGCATACATTCAAAACAGAGGCATATGAAGGAATCATATGGCCTGTTTTACTTTTGCTATGTATTCCTTGAACATCTCTATGCTGAGAAATAGAGCCATTTCTTGGATTGTAAAAACTCATATTTCATTACGGAAATTGCTAAGGTGGATGGATCATTCTATAAGTTCATAAATGGCTAACATGAATAATATGTGTGTGTGTGAGATAATGTGTTTAAAACATCCTTGCTTGCTGCTAAAGAACTAAGGAAAGAAAAAAACATCTTTCCTCTTTCTACCTGTCAACTACAAATCGTCACTTACCACCTACCTCTACAAGGATTAAGTCATGTGCTGCTGCAGCTACTGATTTTCAACACCCCCTGAAAGGAGTCCAGGGCGGCGAGCAGAAATGAGGCACTCTGTGCTCCAGGGAAAACTGGCAGGACATGTCTTCAGATAGTTAAATATTTTCAGGAGCTGATTATATGAACCCAATTTTCGTATCTCCTCATACCTAGAAAATGACTAAAATCCTTCATGATGATGAATGTTCCTCATGACTAGCAAAAACTTTATGAGACTAGTAGAAATCTTCTGGAAAAATATGTGCTTGATTGTAGGTATTCCCCCTTCACCAAAATCTCACATATACTGACTTTCCCCCTTGCTTCTTTGGAGCAGTTTCTCAAAGCTATCTAGGGTGCTGTCTCCTAGGCGCCAGTCCTCATTTTGCCCCAAAGAAAACTTAACTGGCAATCCTCATATTGTGGATTTTTTTTAAGTATGCATATATGGGCTTCCCTGGTGGCTCAGAGGTTAAAGCATCTGCCCGCAATGCGGGAGACCCAGGTTTGATCCCTGGGTCGGGAAGATCCCCTGGAGAAGGCAGTGGCAACCTACTCCAGTATTCCTGCCTAGAGAATTCCACGGACGGAGGAGCCTGGTGGGCTATAGTCCACGGGGTCGCAAAGAGTCGGACATGACTTTCACTTTCACCTTCACCGTTCAGTGAAGCAGTTCACATAGAGGAGAATTTGCTACTAAAAATCAATGCTTCTAGAAATTACAGTTTTGTAGCAATTAGGAGAATAGCCATATAGAAAGAAAAAGCATCAGAGCATCAGGTAATATGAAGAGAAGCAAATAGGAAAAAAGAGATAACAGAGGAGGTTACCTTTTGGGCAAGTGAAGCAGGGATGTGAGGCATGGTTGAATTAGCTAGTGCCAAGCTTTCAAGGGGAGCTAATAAGGTCAAGTCTGACAAAGTCACTATGGAGTCAGCCCCTTGGCTCTTGAGAAAGGGCAAGTAGAAGTTAAGTGCTGGATGGATATGTAAGCCCAGGACCCGTAGATTTAAATTCAATCACACTGTAAATCAAGCATGAACTTTTTTTAAGAGAAAATGATATTCATCTTTGCCATGCAGATGAACCGAACCTAGAAGCTCTTCGAGAAAAAGTCTCAATTGAACAAAAATTGCATTTCCTTAACTGCCCCATAGCAAATTTTCAGTAAAATGCTTAAGAAAATATAATGAAGAATATTCACTGCATCAATGAAGTATAAGAAAAGAAGATATGAATTCAGAAATTGGGATAAATTTCTAACTTGTTACAAGGCTGGTGTATCAAGGTTGAGAAACACAATAAACAGCCTAAGCCTGCTTTACAGAATCAAAAAGTGGAGACTGTCTCTCCTGGAGTTAGGCTGAAGGAAGTTGTGGCCAGTTCACACCATCTACCCAAAACCCTATCATCACTCTCCATCTACCATCGAATCACAACTCCAATGCTGGATCTGTTCCAAACAGGTAAATGAAAAGTCATTGCTTGACTGTATCAAAATTATACCAGTGGGACATTCCATGTTATATTTCTCTTCCTTTACGTGTTCCTTCAGTATCTCTTCCGCACACATTCAGAGCCTGCATTCCTGGCATTATTGGCCAGTGGTGGAGAAACAGGAGAGGAGGTGCCAGTCTGTGAGTCGTCATCCCCACAGGACGAGGACAACAGCCTAGGGAATAGGCTGGGGGAGCATTTAGAGCAACGCATGCTGCAGGCTGAGGTACTTAACACACCTCATCTTCTCACTGATTCAAAGAATTATACAGTGGGAGTTAGAAGGTTTGTATATCTCAGCAAATGTTGAATCTTTGATGGGCGAAAGAAATTAGCCTAGAAGTTATGCACATTAACCTCAGCAGCAGGCCATCTTGAAATAGATACAAATCCTGTGTTTTGACAAACACCAAGTCTGTGTAAACCTTTCCTCATTCACTGACAATTAAGAGGGAGTGTACACAGAAAGACAAATACTACATGTGATCACTTATATGTGAAATTAAAAAAAAAAAAAAAAAACAAGAAACGAATGGGACTTCCCTGGTGGTACAGTGGATAAGAATCTGCCTACCTATGCAGGGGACATGGGTTCAATCCCTGATCTGGGAAGATTTCACATGTCAAGGACAACTGAAGCCCATGAACCACAACTACTGAAGCCCCCACGCTCTAGGACCCTCAAGACATGACTAATGAGCTCTTGTGCGGCAACTACTGAATCCTGTGTGTCTAGAGCCTGTGCTACACAACAGGAGAAGCCACTATGATGATGAGAAATCTGCACGTGGTCGCAACGAGACAAAGCCCATGTGCAGCAACAAAGACCTACCCTAACCAAATATATGAGTAAATTATTTTTTAAAATACTGTAGAAAAAAAAGATATGAGATTAAGAGGTAAAAACTACTATGTATAATATAGATAAACAACAAGAATATGTTGTACAGCCTAGAGAAATGTAGCCATTGTTTTTTAAGAACTTTAAATTGGGAGAGAATCTATTTAAAAGAAGAAGAAAAATGAGTGTGCAGAGAACAATCCACCATGGATTAAAAGGTAAGAGTTCAGACCGAAAAGGTTACTTTTGAAAATTGTCATAAAACCCAGAAAAATAGTTTTTAGAAATTAACTGCTTCATATTTAACTAAGGAAAAGGAACGCATGCCTTCCAAAATAAGAGAAAATGTTTACACAGAAAAATCAAGATTAGAAGAAGAGATCACTGGCTCAGATACAAAGGATGGAAACAGAGATGAAAAAGAAGATAGACATGATAAAGAATCTCCACAAGCAAATAAAAGTACACTCAATAATTAAAATCTTTATGAGAGAAACCAAAGACTAGAAACTATATACATTAAAAGTCAAAATAATGTGGATGTAAAGCCTATAAAGTTCTCCGAGGAAAAAGACAAGGGCAAAAGGAGAAAATTTCTTGGAGAGAAGTTGGGAGATAGGAAAAAAGGAGAGCAAAGGACCAACCTGTGACATACCACTGAGCCCTAGAGAAGTCCCCAGATGTTCACGAAATACAGTGATTGAAGTTATTTTAGGTAAACAATGACAACAGAACTTTGCTAAGAAGAGGCCATATTAGAAATGCTCTCCACTACCACTAATCAGCTAAAACTGAGGACAGAAAGTGACCTATATTATTAGACAAATTCTAGCAATTTTATTAAACTTTTATTTTATTAAACTTTCATTAAAGTTTACAAAAGTTTTTTTTTGCTTTAGTTCCTTAGTAGTAAGCAAGGTTATTTCAAGCACATATCCTATACACACACACACACACACACGACAGCCAGACTTTGTAACACTATGTCTGCTTTAGTAACTGCCTTAGAAGATAATAAAACTGTTATCCAAGCAGCTATAAAAAAAGATATATTCAGTGAGAAATCAATTGTGTGGAACAAATAGAAAAAAAAAATACCCTTTTACCTTTATAAACACATCAGATAGGTACATTTTTAAAATAAATTACTCAAAGATGTACTTCTACCAATCAAGGGGTGAATTAAAGGATTAAAAAATGAGGAATTCATTTTACAAATGGTTTTGGTTTTGGGGTTAGTTACACAATAAATGAAAACATAAAATAGTTATTTTAAAAGATAATATGTATAAAGTAAAATATTATGTTGTTAATAATAGTCTAGACATATATTTACAGATTAAATTAACAAATGACTAACAAACAGAGGGAAAAGGAAAGTAAAAAGAGAGATAGATGGGTGAATAAATATCTGTCCTGTAGGGATGTCTTCACTTGTAGATTTAGAAGAATCTAAATTTAATTATATTTGTATGAAGCTTAATGGTGACCATAGAGAGAGCTACAAGTAGACATTTTTCAAATCACTCAAAAATAAAGAAGCAAACTATTGTTTCTACATAAAAGGATAGGAAGGGTAGCAATCAGAAAGGCATTATAAAATAGAAAAAGAAGTAAATACAAAGAGAAAAAATTAAAGTGTAAATATTTATAATAAATATAAATATAATAACATAAAGAACTTAAAGTCCTAGGTAAATGAGAGAGACTTTGAGAGAAAAGAATAAAATCCAAATATATGTGTATAAAAGAAGCATGCACAAATCAAAAGATACTCACTAGTTGAAATGTAGGTGTTAGTACCATGTGAAAAAGAAGTAAAGTAGAGAGCAAATCAATGATATACAAAATAAAACTAATTTTAATTAGGTATTTGAACTTATCACTCCTTATGTCTTATAGCTGTTTAGAAAAAATAAGATCATTTTAAGACTACAAAAGATTTTCTAATATAAGTTATCATGTCAGATTCAAAAATTATCAGGTTCAATTTTATATCCTATAAATAGAATTATACCTTCTTTGCAAACATCCAAGGAACAAATATAGCTATATATACTTGACCAGAAAAGTTATCTGACTAAATTCAAAAGGGAAAAAATATGGCTTTGCTCTATGATCACCATATATGTGAGTCAGGCTCCTCTGTCCATGGGAATTCTCCAGGCAAGAATACTGGAGTGGGTTGCCATGTCCTCCTCCAGGGGATCTTCCCAACCTGGGGATCAAACCCAGCTCTTCCACACTGCAGGAGGGTTCTTTACCGTCTGAGCCACCAGGAAAGTCCAAGAATACTAGAGAGGGTAGCCTATCCCTTCTCCAGATGTCCTGCTCCTCTGTCCTCTGTCCTCCTATGTCCTCCTCCAGCGGATCTTCCCAATCCAGGAATAGAACTGGGGTCTCCTCCATTGGAGGTGTATTCTTTACCAGCTGAGCTCCCAGGGAAGCCAATGCATATATATATATATATATATATATATATATATATATATGCACACACATACACACACACACACACATATACACACACACATGTATATATATGTATGTATATGTATATATATGTATATCTAAATTCTAAAATTTTAAGAAACAAGCTCCTAAGTAATTGAAAACTGGAAACAATAACATTTGCAGTCACTCCAAAGAAAACAAAATACTTAGATATAAATATAACCAGATGCAAATAGAATCTTCATGCCGAAAATTACAAAATCCTAAAGAGAGAAATCAGAGAACTTTGTCATGGAATGGATACCTTAGTGCATAACACAATCATACAAGATAAAGAAGTCATTTCTCTCCTAATTGATCCATGTATTCAATGCAATTTCTATCAAACATTTATATTAATGCATATATAAAAAGGCAAAAGAACTAAAATAGCCCAAATATTTTGAAAATGAATAAAGTAGGAGGAACCACTATTTGATTTTAAGAACTTACTGTGTAGGTACATTAATTAAAACAATTAATTAAGACAACTAAAAGGAGAAAAGAAGTGTTAAGAGGTGAAGTCATAGAACATTAGCCAGCAAGAATTAAGCAGAGGATTTAAAAGGCTTTCAAGGTTTGTTTTGGCTTCCAGTTCTCCTTACATCTGCCATAAAATGTTCAGGCCCTGGGGAGGCACTGGTCTCTGAATGAGGGACATTTAGATCAGAGCCAAATCCACCCCATAGCCTGCAACAGAACTGCTTCAGCAGTCCCGCATATCTGTGAAGGAGAAAAACCCATAGAAATTGTTGAGCTACAATTTTGGAAATTTTGGAGTTTGTTTGTTATATGGTAATGTTCCAGTGGAAACTTAACTAACTAAAAAAAGTAACCAGGGGCAAGAACATATATGACTCCTTGCTAAGAATGTTGGATTTTGTACTAAATTGTGCCTGAAGCCACTGGGGCTTTTGAGCAAAAGAATGATATGATATGGTTTATGTTAAAAAAAAGTATAATCCTGTTGGTGGGTGAAGAGACTAAGGTGATAACAGTAGAAGCAGGAACATGATTTAAGAGTTTACGAAACTTAAATCAAGCAAGATATTTTGGTGACGTAGTTCAAGGTGGCTGTGGGGAAGATAGAAGTGGTCAAATTCTGGATACAGCTTAAAGCGGGGAGGCAGCAGAATTAACTAATGAATTAGATGTAAATTGTGACAGGTAAGATTCAGCCGCCATCAACTAAGATGGGCAAGACCACAGTGGGAGCAAGAGTCTGACAAAAATCAACACTTTAGTTTTGGACATTTTATTTCTCCTGGTTTAATGGCCAAAGTCTATGAAAATGTAGTTGCTAAATGAAAGAACCCTGATAAACAGAATGACAACATATTGTTTAAAAATAGAGTTCTGGATAAAACTCATAAAGGACAAACTAGATGAAATTCATTATCAATTTTGGGGTTGCGTAACCTAAGAAAGTTAGAAGAGGCAGGAGATATTTAGGCCTCTTTAAAAATGTTGACATAATTTATTTCTGAGGACATTTATTAAAATGACCCTAAAATGAATGCATGTTGTCATCATTATAATAAAACAAAAACATTTCCATGATCCAGTACTTATTTACTGGGTTCTATTCCAGATTGTATCAAATCAGTTGTGGGATCTATGACAAAAATGCAACAATGCTGTGAGGATACCCTGGCATCTCTTACTGGACAGATAGACTGCAGAGAAAGCTGTATGCACTAATGCTTATCAGACAGGCTCATACACTGTTTCACTCTAAGATGAAGACATCTGAATTCTCTTTAGGAATACAAGGACTGCCTCTTTTTTTTTTTTTTTTCTGGTTGTGCAGCTCAGAGGATCTTAGTTTAGACCAGGGACTGAACTCCTGCTCTTGGCAATGAAGGCACAGAGTCCTAACCACTGGAATGCTAGGGAATCCCCTAGGACTGCATTTTAAAAAAAGAAAATAAATGAAAACATTTGAAAGAGAATCACAGAGTGTCAGAAAGGCAATATCACAAAATATCTATTGCAAACAGTGGAAATGTATTGCTAATTAACCATGATTTTTGAAAGTCCACAGCTATATCTCAAAACATTGCATGGTTCCAGTACCTTAGCACTGGCTAATTAATAAGAGAATATTCTGAAAGAAAAATTATATGGCATTAAAATTCTAATCTGCAATCCATAGAGATTCCCACACAAAAAAAGAAAACTACCTTTCCCCACTTGTTACTTTAAAACTTGTTTTGTTAGAAAAACTCTTTTAAAGTAAATTGCACTACTATAATAATGTTTATTCCAAGCACATAGAGGGTAGCTGAGGATGCTACTATACACAACAAGATAATAATGATTTTGCAGAAATGTTAGCAGCTCAGTTTAGGAGCCAGACAACCTGGATGGAATACTGGCTTGATTACTCACTAACTGTGTAATTTCAACAAGCTATTTAATCTCTATGCTTTGTTTTCCTTATCAGTAAAATGATAATAACACCTAACCAAAGGTAACTAAGAACATATAAAATACTAGTTACTATCATTATAATTATGATGAGAATGATTAGACCTAATTAAAAATAAGAAGGAAGGAAAGAAGAATGGAAAGATGAAGGGGGTGGAGGAGAGAAGGAAGGAAAGTGATGTTTATATACCTTTGGTTTCATTTTAGCATTTAATGAAACATAAAACTTCAGTGGCCTCACATGCCAAGCTTCTTGCCAATGGTGGTACTTAATCAAAGAAGCTGAAATGATCCTTTATGATCTCCATCCTGAAAATGTACAGAACAGAATAGATTTTCATCATGAAAAGAAGGCTCAATTTTAAAAGGATGCTGTTTTACCAAAATATCCATTTTCCTCCATCAGTGAAAGCTTTTATTGAAGCAGCCTAAAGATTACTGTGTGATTGGACTGACTAGTTGTCTGTGATTGTGGCTTCAGTCTGTCTGCCCTCTGAGGCCCTCTCTCAGCGCCTACCGTCTTACTTGGGTTTCTCTTACCTTGGATGTGGGGTATCTCTTCACGGCTGCTCCAGCAAAGTGCAGCCGCTGCTCCTTACCTCGGACGTGGGGTAGCTCCTCTCAGCCGCAGCCCCCGACCTTTGGCGTGGGGTAGCTCCTCTTGGCTGCCACCCCATCCAACCAGTCCATCCTAAAGGAGATCAGTCCTGGGCATTCATTGGAAGGACTGATGTTGAAGCTGAAGCTCTGATATTTCGGCCACCCGATGCGAAGAGCTGACTCCTTTGAATAGACCCTGATGCTGGGAAAGATTGAGGGCAGGAGGAGAGGGACATGACAGAGGATGAGATGGTTGGATGGCATCACCGACTCAATGGACGTAAGTTTGGGTGGACCTTGGGAGTTGGTGATGAACAGGGAGGCCTGGCGTGCTGTGGTTCATGGGGTCACAAAGAGTCGGACACAACTGAGTGACTGAACTGAAAGATTACTGATCACACTGACAGGTAATAACCACACAACATGATTAGAGAGGGCCTTCCCAGGTGGCACAGAGGTAAAGAATCTTGTCTCCCATTGCAGGAACCTCAAGAACTCAAGGCTCAGGATAGATCCCTGCATTGGGAAGATCCTCTGGAAGAGGAAATGGCAACCCACACCAGTATTCTGGCCTGGAGAATCCCATGGACAGAGGAGCCTGGTGGGCTACAGTCCATGGAGTCACAAAGAGTCGGATGACTGAGCACACACCCAGAAACAGAAACATGATTAGACAGGGGCTTCCCAGGTGGCTCCAGTGATAAAGAATCCACCAGCTAATGCAGGAGGCACAGAAGACGTGGGTTTCATCCCTGGGTCAGTAAGATCCCCTAGAGGAGGAAATGCAACTCACTCCAGTATTCTTGCTTGGAAAATCCCATGGACAGAGAAGGCTAGTAGGCTACAGGCCATAGGGTCGCAGAGTTGGACATGCCTGAGCGACTGAGCAAACACTCCCACATGATTAAAGAGGCTGTGTTGACAAATTGTACCACACAATTGTTGAGCTGATCTGTGGAATTAAAATCAAAAGTCTGTCATTGTAAAACTGTATTATTCAGTACAAAATCACTGACATTTCCTCTAATGTCATAGGTTTTGAATCCAATCACGGTAGAAAGATGTCATTTTCCTTCTGCACTCAGCCAGATAAAACTACCTACATCTGTATGAGCTCTTTTAAGAATTTTGTGAGCCCCTTTCAGAAATCCTAGGGTCTGTCAACATCATGTCTTTGCCCAAAAAACACTTCAACTGGAAGAAAATTCTGATATTTTGTGCAAAATAGAACACCCATGATGCATGGACATACATCTAGTTTTGTTGCTCTGGTGAAGGAGAAGCAACCCATGACATTGCAATGCATCGCTGTACAGACTGGTTTGTGTTGGTGTTAAAGACTTGGCCAATACCAATGAAAGAAGTCTTTTCTGCTGCTGTGAAAGTTGTCAACTTCACCAGAGCCGGCACCTTGAATCACCATTTTTTAAAGAAATTTGGTCCAAAAGTGGAATAGGATTATAATTTTCTTCTACTGTATACCTACACTCATAGGTATTCGAGGGGACAAGTCAAGGTACATGGTTAAACTTCAGAGAAAAAGAGAAAAAAGCCCACTCAGAACAATCTGGAAAGGAGATATTCATTCATTGCTTGGCTTGCTTGCCCAGTGTTTTTGGTCATGTGCAAAAGGTAAATCTGATCTAAAGCCCTGCGGCGGAAAAACCGTAAGTTTTTACCAAGATGCCAAAGGAAGAGTTTCACAGGATAAGGTTGAGACTGACAATCATTTCTCAGCTGGCAGAGTTGGAAATCTTGCAGACCTTTTCCAAGGGTTTATTCAGCTTCTTGGACCTTAATAATAAAACAGGCGTTGGAAATCCATCCTTTGCTTACATGGCATTAGTGTAAATTTTATCAAAGGTGACTCCATTACCTTGAGAACTGAGGAAATGAAGTGACCCAAATTCAACATGAAGTGCCTTATTCAGTTTTCATGCTCCAACAGCAACTCACTATATCTGAGCAAAGCAAAATTTAGAAGCAAATTTGATTCAGTTTGCTTTTATATACAATTGAGAGTCAGGATTTTCAGAAATGTTCACTTTAAAAGACACATATATTCATAATTAACTCAAGGCCAAGATGATTTATAAGGTGCTATGTCAGAGTCCGTTGCACTAAACCAAATAGCATGTGCCTTATTTTGGAAACATACTGCTAAGAATGAATATTTATTTTGGTTTCATTTACAAAATTTGAATTTAATTCCATGTTTTTCCATTGAGAAGTCATTGACTTTTGCATGATGTTCCACCATCCCCAGAAGAATGCATATACTCCCACAAAGTTATTGAACTTCTTTATAACTTGACTTTATATATTTATGAAAATAATCTCTAGGGGAAAAATGTTATGTCTTTTTAGACTCTATGTGTCTGGAATGCAAAAGAAAGTTGAGAACCAAAGTGATGAAATGAAGATGAAATACATGAAATACATCTTCATGAAGATGAAATACATGAATTCCCTTAATCTACTATTTTTGATACACATATAAAAATTAGCACTATATAGACTGGTAATTTGAGAATAGTCAACTTGCATCAAAAGTTGATGAATCACTGGGTGTCCCTAGAATACCATGTTTGCAAAGATACAGAGAGCAAAGAAGTCCTGAATGCTTAGGACATGTTACTGCTTCAGAATTTATTAGCAAATATCCAAGAGCTTAAAAATCCTCAGGATAGCCTATCCTAAATGGAAGTGAGTAGATATTCACTGAAATACAAAAAATGGTTTCAAGCTGAGTCTCATCAATGTCTTGATTGCATAATAATGTTTTAAATATTCATAGGTTTCAAGAAGTTATTTTAAAACTGTTCTGGAGAACACTGATTTTTTAACTTACTGCATAATGTGTTCAGTTGAAGAATCTACACCAATAAACTTGAACCTAATTTTATAGTAATATCTCATTGCTTTTGAGAGATTAGGGATAATAAATAACAAACCTAAATATAGGAGAATAAACCAAAATTTACATAGGAGCTGATTTGTATGTTCCTAGGATATATATGACTACACTTGACTACAAAGAAAATTTTACCTTCCAGCATACAGACACAATTTTTTCAACAACAAAATTGCAAGTTTACCTGAATATGAGAAGTTCATATTATGGTTGGAAGGCCAAACAGAGCTGACAAGTCTAGAATGGTTATTCAAGACTATTAGTCCATTCATTCCAAAAGCACTAGAGGTGGAGCAGAGCAATGGAAAGCATCCCAACAAGGAAAGAAATGCACTCTCTTTAACAGAGATTTGTATTATTGTTTTTATGAAAAACAGCATGCCACAAACCAAACACTCACTAGAATTAGATTTTGGTTTATTCTCCTATATTTATACTTATTATTTATTATCTCCATAAACCATCTCTCAAAAGTAATGGGATAGTACTATAAAATTAGGTATAGATTCTTCAAATGAACATAGTAACAATACTTATAAAACAACAGTTTAAAGATAGTGATGACTTTGAGGCTAATAAAATAAGTGTAGAATTTCTACAAAGATGATGGATTATCAAGCTTTATGATTGATCTTATAACTAGATTTGAAGATTATTGTGTTCCAGGTTTTAAAGATAGTTAAAATTTTTTATTGTTTGTGTTTGTTACATAGTATGGTCTTCCTTGAACATTAATTTCCAATAGAATTCTATGTTTTTTCTCTTTTGGCTGCATATCAGTAATGAAATATTCTGCTCTATCTTGGAAAATTTGTCTTCAGTGTATGTCTGAGAATGTATTGTAATTCCTTCTATAGTATTTTTTGCTTTACATTTTGTACCAGTTACTTATATAAATGATTTATTTTCACATATTATACTTTTGTTACCTGTGCAGGAATTCATGTAAATGTATTTAATTTACTATTTTAACTTGTACCAATGTTTACTGAGATATTTCCTCCCCTGGATTATCTACATCAGTTTTTCTACATTTAATTTATCTGTGGATTGTTTTTTAGTCCCCAATGTTTACTGAAATACAGTGCCAGCATGTGTCTTATGTGTGGCACGGAACTCAATTTACCAATAAATTTATTATATTTTATTGACTGTTAAGAAGATTGAAGGCAGGAGGAGAAGGGGATGAGATGGTTGGATGGCATCACCGACTCAATGGACATGAATTTGAGCAAGCTCCAGGAGTTGGTGATGGACAGGGAAGCCTGGTGTGCTGCAGTCCATGGGGTTGCAAAGAGTTGGACACAACTGAATGACTAAATTGAACTGAACATGTCACTATATTTCTTTTTAGTTGTATGATTTTATACTTTTGTATAATTTATTGAAAATTACTGTATACTCAGAATTTGCAACTTCCTATGAGTGCTAGTATACTGCACAGTGTGGTTTATGACCAAAAGGACATCAAAAAAACACAGAAGCCAATATGAAGAGGTTCCCATTAACTAAAGATAGAACAATCTGACCATGATAAAAATTTTGAATGCTAATGACTAAACATACCAACTATATAAAAGCTCACGTAAAGGAGAGAAAGTTATTCCTTCTCCACCAAAAACAGAAAAAAACAGTCCCAAAACTTGTACAGAACCACAGAAGACCCCAATTTGGCAAAGCAGTTCTTGAGTAAAAAGGATACAGCTGGAAGCATCACACGTCCTAACCTCAAAATATATTACAAAGCTATAGTAAGCAGAAGAGTATGGCACTGGCATAAAAACAGACACATACACCAATGGAACAGAATAGAGAGCTCAGAAATAAGCCCAGAAATATGATCAACTAATTTACAAAAAAGAGCCAAAAACATATAATGGGGAAGGTACAATATCATCAAAATGGTGCTGGGAAAATTGGACATGGGAAAAGAATGAAAGTGGACCATTATCTTATACCATACACAAAAATCAACTCAAAATGGATCAAAGACTTGAACATAAGAAGATCTGAAACCATAAAACTACTACCTAGAACAAAACATAGGAGGTAAGTTCCTTGATGTTGGTTTTGATGATGACTTTTCATATTTGACACCAAAAGCAAAGGCAAAAATAAACAAGTGTGACTATATCAAACAAAAAGTTTCTGGATAGCAAAGGAAACCATCAACTAAATAAAAAGGCAACCCATAGAATGGAAGAAAATATTTTCAAATCACATAAATGATAAGGGGTTATCATCCCAAATAAATAAAGAACTCATATAACTCAACAGGAAAAAAATCCAAAATCTGATTTTAAAACTTGCAGAGGATCTAAATAGTTGTTTTTCCAAAGAGGACATACAAATGTTCAATAGGTACATTAAAGGGTATTCAGCATTACGAATCATCAAGGAAATGCAAATAACTGTTAGAATGGCTATTACCAAAAGGAACACAAACAACAAGTGTTGACAAGGATGTGGAGAAAAAGGAACCTTCATGTGCTCTTGGTAGAAATGTAAACTGATGTAACCACAATGGAAAACAGTATTCCTCAAAAAGTTAAAAATAGAACTACCATATGATCTAGCAATTTTGTTTCTGGGTAGGCTTCCCAGGTGGCTCAATGGGAGAGAATCTGCCTGCGAGTGCAGGAGACATGGGTTTGATCCCGAGGTTGGGAAGATTCACTGGAGAAGGAAATAGCAACCCACTCCACTATTCTTGCCAGAGAAATCCCATGGTCAGAGGAGCCTGGCAGGCTACAGTCTATGGGGTTGCAAAGAGGACATGAATGAGTGATTGAACAGGCATGCAAACACATTCAAAGGAAATGAAAACACTAATTTGAAAAAGTATCTGCTCCTCCATGTTCATTGTGACATCATTTACTACAGCCAAGATATGTAAATAATTTAAGTGATTAGAGGTGGATGAATGGATAAAAAATGTGGTGTATGTATCTGCAATTGAATAGTCAGTTCAGTTCAGTTCAGTTGCTCAGTCATGTCCAACTCTGTGAACCCATGGACTGCTGCATGTCAGGCCTCCCTGTCCATCACCAACTCCTGGAATTTACTCAATCCATGTCCATTGAGTTGGTGATGCCATCCAACCATCTCATTCTCTGTTGTCCCCCTCTCCTCTCACCTTCAACCTTCCCCAGCATCAGGGTGTTTTCAAATGAGTCAGCTCCTCACATCAGGTGGCCAAAGATTTGGAGTTTCAGCTTCAACATCAGTCCTTCCAATGAACACTCAGGACTGATCTCCTTTAGGATGGGCTGGTTGGATCTCCTTGTAGTCCAAGGGACTCTCAAGCGTCTTCTCCAACACCACAGTTCAAAAGCATCAATTTTTTGGTGCTCAGCTTTCTTTATAGTCTAACTCTCACATCCATACATGATTGCTAGAAAACCATAGCCTTCACTAGACAGACCTTTGTTGACAAAGTAATGTCTCTGCTTTTTAAGAAGCTTTCTTAGCTTGGTCATAACTTTTCTGTCAAGGAGTAAGCGTCTTTTAATTTCATGGCTGCAATCACCATCTGCAGTGATTTTGGAGCCCCCCAAAATAAAGTCAGCCACTGTTTCCACTGTTTCCCCATTTATTTGCCATAAAGTGATGGGACCGGATGTCATGATCTTTGTTTTCTGAATGTTGAGCTTTAAGCCAACTTTTTCACTCTCCTCTTTCACTTTCATCTTTGCTTTCTGCCTTAAGGTGGTGTCATCTGCATATCAGAGGTCTTTGATATTTCTCCTGGCAATCTTGAGTCCAGCTTGTGCTTCCTCCAGCCCAGCATTTCTCATCATGTACTCTGCATATAAGTTAAACAATCAGGATAACAATATATAGCCTTGACGTACTCCTTTTCCTATTTGGAACCAGTCTGTTTTTCCATGTCAGTTCTAACTGTTGCTTCCTGACCTGCATACAGGTTTCTCAAGAGGCAGGTCAGGTGGCCTTGTATTCCCATCTCTTTCAGAATTTTACCCAGTTTGTGGTCATCCACACAGTCAAGGCTTTGGCATGGTCAAAAAATCAGAAAGAGATGTTTTTC